TCCCCTTCCCCTGTCTCTTCCCTGGGATCTGCTCCTGAGCAGGGTCCCTCAGTCCCTGGGGATCCGGGGTAGGGGCAGAGGGGTGGGCAGGCAGCAGCCTGCAGGAAAGGTTGGGGTGGGTGAGGGGAAGATGCTGAGGAGGGACCAGGTAGAGCGGAGGGGAAAAGGGAACAGGAGCAAACTCAGGGTGCTGGGAAAGCATCTGTGAAGCCCCCAGGAGAGGGCTGAGGGTGAAGGGGCCTCTCCAGGGGTCCCACAGCTCTCCCCAGCACTGCACTGGGATCCTGCAGGGACCTGACTGGCAACTGCCAGCCACAAACCTGCCCAGAGAAGGGCACCCTTGCTTGGGGATGGCTCCGAGGAACAGCCACGGTTCCCCTTGCCCATTTCTTGCTTCTCTCCTTTCCACCAGCCATTTACTGCCCAACAGCCACACTTTGACCCTCCAGGACCCGCTGGCCCAGCGAGGGCTCTGCCCCTGTTTCCAGGAGCAGGATGGGGCCCGTTGGACACTAACCTCCCTGCTTTGCTCTTGTCCAGTACCGCACGGTCCTCGTCCCGGTGGTGAAGTCTCCTGGCTTGCCAAAGCTCCCAGGGAAATCTCTCAGCTTTATTTACTTTGCCCCCGATGATGAAAACCCTGAAATCCATCAGCCTGTGGTCCTGGAGCTGACGCCGTCGCCAGAGATGACCTACAGGACCTTGCCTGGCACCAGCAACGAGATGAACGTCTTGGGCATCGTCATCTTCTCAGCCACCATAGGTACCCGCCCCGTGGAGACGGGGGCTCTGCCCTGTGCCCAGCCCGGGGTGGCCACTGCTGTGCCCAGGGGCTGGACAGGGAGCTGGGGATGCTGAGAGAGGAGGTTGTTTTAGCTCTGACTGCTGAGCTGGGCACAGCACGGAGCTGGTGCCAACACAGAGCTGTCCAGAACAGAGCTCAGACAAGGTGCTGGGCACTGGGGAGGTTGTTTGCTCCCCGGGTATTCCATGAACCTTCACAGCCCAAGGGTGGCTCCTGAGGAGTGTCAAATTGTCACATGAGCTGCAGGGGTCCTTCTGTGAAGCCTGCTGAGGTGAGCTGTAACTTCTGCAGAGGCTCCCGGGGACACAGCTCACTGCAAACCCCTGAGCAGGCTGGGTCAGACCCTGTCACAAGTGTCTGGGGATTTATTACAGGGCTTTCTGAAGAAGGAACGAGAGTTCCCTGCACTGCAGAGCCCTGTGGACAAGGTGGATGGAGAGAACATGTGAGGGGGAGAGGAAGGTTTACAGGGGAGAAAGTCAAGGGAAGGAGGAACCTGGAGGTGACTCAAAGCATGAGATAGAAGGACACTGTGTGCAAGGCTGAGGGAGAAAGGGAGGAAAGGAGGAATCAGGAGGGAAAAAGAGAAGGAGGTGATGCAATGAGCTTGGGGACAAGATTACGTGGAGATTAAGAGGTGAGGGCAAGGAGCTTGAACTTAGTGTATAAGGAACCAAAAAGCCAATTAGAGGATTTGAGGGGTGGAGGCCATGCAGGCAGCACAGCACTGGAGCACACCAGAACCCCAGCAGAGCCAGGGCAGAGGGACCAGATTTAAGGGCCACGACAGAGGGTGTGCCTGGAGGAGACAGCCACGGGGGGACCGGGCAGAGACAGACCCACCCAGAGACCCCATGGACAGAGGAGATGGCTGGGGCAGACTTCTGTCCCAGAGACCAGCCCCCTCTGCACACCACGGATCCTCGGGAACACTGTGAGCCACGTGCCCTCCCCCAGCCCAGCCCAACGGGCGAGGAGAAGGCACTTTTCTCTCCTGAGATTAGCACCCCCAGCCCGCCAGCGGGGGAGTGAGGATCAGCCCCGGGGCAGGACACAGCAGGAGATCCCTGGAGCCAGCCCCGGCCACCCAGCTGCACCCTGGCCAGACCAGAGCCTGGCTATGATCTTCTTCTCAAGCTGCAGCAGTCACTCGTGCTCCAGGAGTCGTTTTAGCTGAGAGGACCACACAGCAAGGACGTGCACTGGGCTGGGAACTAGGTGGGCAATGATCAGACTCGTTCTTCTGCTGCTGAAGGAGTATCTGGGAAAGCTCCTCAGCAGGGAAAGCCACGGGACTCAGCCCTGGCCAGCTTTGTGCTGGCAGATCAGAGAGCACCAACCCCCTGCCCCTGCGTGAGCTTCTGCTCCAGTGCTCCTCCAACGGGCAACCAGACTGGAACTGGGATAGTGCAACAAGAGCAGAATGAAAACTACAGCTCAGCCAGGAGGCCCAGTGCCTGCATCTGAGCAATCCAGTGGGATCCTCCCTGGCGTGCCTGTGCTGTCACCACCACGGGACAGTCTGTAAGCCTCCACGACAGCCACCCCCAGGACTCTGCTGGGCAGCAGCCAGCACAGCCTGGCCCAGGAGGGGACTGGGCAGACTGGGGCCCTGCTGGAGGGGTCAGCCACATGGCAGATGTGGCAAGCAGCTCTTGACTCCAGAGCAATACAGCACCACACCCTCAGCTATGGACAACCCCACTCTGCTTCATCCTTCAAAAAAAATCAACCTTTATTTCTGGAGCTGTTTCATTCCTGTATTACCAAGCAGCAGAAAGGTGGTTTAGCCACCCCGAGAAGTGACTCCTCCAAGTGCTGGGCAGCAGTGAAGAGTTTATCAGTTATCTGTGCAAGGAACAGTCCAAATCCTGGATTTGGGGTTGGTGTTTTTTTTGTCTGAGGAAAGGCCAGGTGCTTGTATTTGCTTAGAGCAGCGAATGACCACAGCCCGTAACAGCACGTGGAGTTCTGCTCCATAAGGAGCACATCTGCCCTGCTGTAAGCTTGCCCAGGGCTTGAAACCAAATCTATGACCCCCAGAGCCTCAAGACACTGAGCCTGAGCCACGCTGCTCCCGTGGAGCTCCTGAGTAAGGTGAACCCATGTGCTTGGTTGCAGGACTCCTCCTGGGAAAGATGGGCGAGCGAGGAAAGCCCCTGGTCAACGTCTGCCAGTGCCTGAACGAAGCAGTCATGAAGATTGTCTCGATGGCAGTCTGGTAAATCCCTTTTTGATTGATTCAGTTGATTTCTTACCTGCTGCCTCATGGCAACGCTGGTCACAGCTCTACAAGCATCTGTTATGAGCACTGGATGTGTTTTTGTAGGGCTGTACCACACAGTGCCAAACACTCCAGTGACTTGTGTGACTTCAGCGACTGCTGCAGCCTCATAAACAATATTTAATGCTTATTCTTTGCAGGTACTTCCCCTTCGGCATCGTGTTCCTCATAGCTGGAAAGATCCTGGAGATGGAAGACCCGTCGGTGACAGGGCAGAAGCTGGGGCTCTACGTCATCACAGTCGTGTCGGGGCTCGCCATCCACGGACTCATCCTCCTCCCTCTGCTTTTTGTGCTCATCACCAGGAAAAACCCCTTTGCTTTCATCCAGGGGATACTGCAAGCCTTGCTCATCGCCTTGGCTACATCTTCCAGGTATGGAAACGTGGCTCAGAGGTGCTGATCCAGCTTTAGGGAGCTGCTTTAGTCAAGGGAGGTGTGACTGTGGGCCAGGCGAGCTGTGGGACAGTGGGTACAACTCAGACACAGGAAAATCCCACTCCAGCACTGCTGGCAAGAAGATCCCTTCTGGTTTCAGGAGTTACTGGGGTGCTTGGCACCACCCTGGTCCTCTGCAGGAGGAGCCTCTGAGCATCTTCACACCCAGCCAGCTCACGCTGCTCTTCTGCTCCCCCTCTGCTGGGGTTATCCCAGAGCAAAGCAGAGTCCCTGAGCCAGTCCCTGTGTCTGTTTCTTTTCATTGCTCCAGCCAATTTCCTTCTAAGAATTCAAAAAAGGACTGTTGTAGCTGCTGTATAAATCAGCAGGGGTTTGAAGTCCTGCGTTTTAATTGCTGAAAATCTTAAATCAAATCCTACGTATCTTAAACTCCTCCAAAGAAAAGTGTTGTCTACTTGAATTATAATTTTAGATTATTTTTGTCTATTTTATTTTCACTGAAAAAAAAAATTTACATAAGAAACTACCACCCTTCCTGCAAAATGCAGAAATTAAAACATTTTCTTATAAAATATTTGACTAGGCAAAAGGGTTTTCTGGCCTCCTTCATGCTGTTTCTTCACACTATCCCAATAAATCTCCCTGTGTCTCCCTCTCCCAGCACCCACCACTCCAGGTCCCTTCTGCTACTCCTGACTATCTGATCTCCTCCAGAACTTGGGTCTCCAGCTCCTTCTTGCTCCTCTCTGCTCTACAGCCAGCTGGAGATGCAGGGGAGGGTGAGAGCTGTGCCAGGGGCTGGGGCCATCACACCATGTGCTGAATCCAGCTCCTTCCAGAAGGGCAGTCCCTGCATCCAAGAGTCTGTCACAATCCCATTGACTTATTTTCCACGCTCATCTCCTTCCCTCCACTCAGTCCTCTTCCTCCACACCTCTGTCCTGGCTCCTGTCCGACAGCTCCTCGTGCTAGACAGAAAAAAGAGAGAAAGCTCAGGCAAAAGCTGAGGCAGCTGCTCCTCGTGCCACAGAGAAGACAAACACAGAACAGGGTCTGGCTGGACCTTGGTGTGGTCAGTGCTGGCAGGTGCTGTCCCACACGGTGCTGGAGGTGCTGCAGGATCAGTGTGGAGACCAGGGACGTCCAACAGAGCTGCAGCCACCACGCAGAGCTGCTCCTAACGAGTGGCTCATCCTGCAGCCACCAGCTAATTGGCTGCCTGGGTAATGATGTGTGTTCCCCAGGTATAGAATCCTAGAATCCTCTAGGTTGGAAGGGACCTCCAAGATCATCAAGTCCAACCATTGAGCCATTAGGGCTCTAAAGTCCTCTGCTAAAACAGATCAGAATCTGTCAGGGCTGGAAGGGACCACAAGGCTCCCCCAGTTCCAACCCCTCTGCCATGAGCAGGGACACCTCCCACTAGATCAGGCTGCCCAGAGCCTCCTCCAGCCTGGCCTTAAAGACCCCCAGGGATGGGGCCTCAACCACCTGGGTAGTGCAAGTTGAAGACACTTCCATTGCTACAGCAGTTTGTGCCATGTGCTGCTGCACTTGCCCTCAGCAGGACTTGTACTCCTCCACCATTACCCTGATTTGTGTTTATGAAGCTCAATGCACCTGGCAGAAAGAAAGAGTCTGTAGCACCACGACAAAGGGTGATGGTTTTAAACTAAAAGAGGGAGATTGACTAGAAAGAAGGGAGAAATTTAGGACCCTGAGGGTGTTGAGCCCCTGGCCCAGGTTGCCCAGCTGGGTGGTTGCTGCCCCATCCCTGGCACCATCCCAGGGGAGGCTGAGGGCTCTGAGCACCCTGCTCTAGCTGGGGCTGTCCCTGCTCCCTTCCAGGGGGTTGGATGAGATGAGCTTGATAGGTCCCTTCCCACCCAGAGCACTCTGTGGCTCTGTCCTCTCCTGCAGCTCAGCGACGTTGCCCATCACCCTGAAGTGTCTCCTGGAGAACAACGGCCTCGACAGGCGCGTGGCGCGCTTCGTGCTGCCCGTGGGTGCCACCATCAACATGGACGGCACCGCGCTCTACGAGGCCGTGGCTGCCATCTTCATCGCCCAGGTCAACGAGTACGACCTGGATTTAGGGCAAATCATAACCATCAGGTAAATGTTCCCCTGCAGCAGCTGAATTAGTCATTTCTATTCCTATTGCAGACACAACCTCTCGCACTTTCCCCACCTTGCTGCTGCAGAGTGAGCTTTGCTGCAGACCCGAGGGGCAGGGGAGGGTGCAGCACGTGCCAGCTCCTGCACTGGGCACCGGGGGCAGCTCGGGCTCTACGCCCACAGAATGTGCTGCAGAACCCCAGGCTCTGCCTGCAGGTAAAGGCCACAGTGCCCAGTGACAGCACGGCCAGAGCAGCTCAACACCTGCAGCGTGGATGAATTCCCTTGGCACAGGAGGGTGTGTGCAGGAGTGCCTGGCTCCCCTTCGGGAAGAGAACATCTTTTTATAAGCAGGGAAATAAAAGCACCTATAAAAAACTAACCTATATATACAAAGCACCTATATAAACTAAAAACAAGTGCAGTTGCAAACACTCAGCAACCCAGTGCAGGGGCTGCCTGCAGCAGGGAGCTGTGGAAGCACAGAGCCCAGGGAGCTGAGCCCCCAGCTCTGCCAGGCACGGGCAGGGGAGGTCAGGATGGCAGCAGGGAGCAGGACGGTGAAGGAAGCCAGACCCAACCCTTCCCTGAGGGAATGCCTCACTTTGCCATGCAAACGTGCTCTCTCTTTCCTCCTGCAGCATCACGGCCACAGCAGCCAGCACCGGGGCAGCCCGGGTACCCCAGGCAGGGCTTGCCTCACGGCCCCGCCAGCCAGCATCGGGGCAGCCGGGATCCCCCAGGCAGGGCTGGTGACCATGGTGATCGTGCTCACCTCCGTGGGGCTGCCCACCGAGGACATCACCCTCATCGTCGCTGTCGACTGGGCTCTGTAAGTGCTCTGCAGGGGATCCCTTCTCCCAGGAGACAGAGCCAGAGGGAATGGCCCACTGGTGCTACGGGGAGGGTTGGTACG